GGAGAGATCCGGTTTCCTCGTGAATTAGAAAACAAATACATAGTATCAGATAAAATACTCGGTAAAGGTTCTTTTGCTGTTGTAAAAGAATGTACAGAAAAACGATCCAATAAAAATTACGCATTAAAAATAATCTTGAAGGAATCGATAAAAGGTTAGTATCAATTTAATTTTGTTTATTAGAAGTTGGAAATAAATAAATAATTAATAAATTATTTTAATATATTAGGAAAGGAAAAAATGCTTCCTATTGAACTTGACATACTAAAAAAAGTTCATCATAAATATATAACATCTTTACACGATTTATACGAGACTAAGGATGGAGTGTTTATCATAACAGACTTGGCATCTGGTGGAGAATTGTTTAATCAATTATTACTCAAAGGTTCATATACTGAAGAAGATGCTGCAAATCTGATGAAACAATTACTTGAAGGTGTTCAATATTTACACGATTTGGATATAGTTCACAGAGATTTAAAGCCCGAAAATTTATTATTTAAAGATAAATCAGATGAAGCAGATATAATGATAACAGATTTTGGTTTATCAAAGATTTTAAAGAGTGAAGATGATGTACTGTTAACGGCATGTGGAACACCTGGGTGAGTTGTCAATATGTGATTGATTATTATTAATTCCACAAAAAAAAAATTTTTTTCTTATAAATATATATATATATTTTTTACGAATAGTTATATTGCACCAGAAGTTCTATTGCAAGCTGGATATGGCAAACCTATTGATATTTGGAGTATAGGAGTGATAATGTATACAATGTTATGTGGTTATACACCATTTTGGGGTGAAGATCAAGCGGCTTTATTTGAATCCATCATGTCAGGTGAATATGAATACGAAGAAGAATATTGGTCAGAAATATCGGATTTAGGTAATTTGAAGAAAAAGTTCATTATTTATATTAAAAAAATTAATGAAAAATCATTGATATGTTACTAAAACACTCTTTTTTAATTTTTATAAAAAATTCATAGCAAAGGATTTAATAGATAAATTGTTAACATATGAGCCTCATAAAAGAATAACAGTCCACGAAGCATTGAAACATCCTTGGTTCGAATCAGCTAACAAAATCAATATTCTTGAAAAGGTCAAAAGTAACTGGTCCGCCAACGATAGATTCAAAACAGCAATTCATCTGG